GATGGGGCAGCCCGCTCGGGGCACCCCTGGCATCGCGGGGGAACGGGGGGTTGTGTCTGAAACACCGCTGGGGCTCCCCGGGGGAGGCAGCCCCACCGGCCGAGCCCTCGAAGGGGCGGCTCGTCGTGCCTGGGCACCCCCGTCCTGTCTGTCTCTTCCAGAGACCGTATGTCTGCGAGTACGAGGGCTGCGGCAAAAGCTTCACGAGAGATTTCCACCGCGCTCGACACCTCCTCACGCACACAGGGGAAAAGCCGTTCGAGTAAGGGCCGAATTCTTCTTAAAATGGGTGACGCGTCTCTGTGTGAAGGGAGAGGAGCTGAAACTGGTGCGCGGGCGGTGCCGAGCGCTGCCGGAGCGCGGGGAGAGGGGGGAACCTCCTCAGCCTCCGCCCTCCGGACTGGTAGTGATGCCTCAGAATGATGCTCTTAAAGGACCGGGCAGATCCCTAGAATACAGAATTAAAACAAGGAAGGGCAACGATCTCTTGTTACCGAGTCCTTAATAGCTACCTGTCATGGATTAGGGAACGGGAAATTATGTTTCATTAAAAATACCTTCTGTTACATTCTCATGTGGCTTTTGATTGTAACTTCAGCCTGTTTGGTTTTTTTCTGGTTTTGAAGCAAATTTTTATATTTGGGTTGTGAGTTTTGGTTATTCTTTGCGTATTCCTCTTGTCCAGTGATGTCTGTGCCTGGTTAGAAAACAGATCGTGGAGAGTGATAATAAAAAAAGCAGTTCATTTGCAGGTGCCCAGCTGATGGCTGCAACCAGAAATGTGGAACAAAATCAAACTTGAAAAAGCACATTCAGCGAAAACATGAAAATCAGCAAAAGCAGTATGTGGTGAGTTGATACTGTAAAGTGGAGGCTAAACAAGCTCCTTTCTGTGTGTCTAGTGAAATACTTCAACTTGTTGTTGTATGAGTTCAAATACTGAGATTGGGATTTCACCAAACACATGTGGACTGGGCTTCTAACCATAACATCATTTCCTAAATAGTGCGACTTTGAGGGCTGCAACAAGTCTTTCAGGAAACACCAACAACTGAAAGTTCATCAGTGTCACCACACCAATGAACCTCCCTTCAAGTAGGTGGATAATTTTAATGATGAGTGTACAATTTCATTTAACCACTGTAGATGAAAACAGATGCCTTTTCTCAACTTTTTCCTTGATGTGGCTTTTTTTTTTTTTAAATGGCATGAGTTTGTAGTTCTGGCTGCAAGTACATTTCATGTACCAGTCCTTTGCTCAGTAGTCTCTCTTGAGCAACAGTCTTGGTGCTCTGTAACTTAAGCATTCCAGACGTTTGCTTAGAATTTATTACAGGTTCACAGGAAAAATAAACCAAAAAACCCAGTTTTGAGCTCACACATTCTGAAGGTCAAGCCTAAGAACTTGTACAGTAACAAAATGCAGCTACCTTGGCTTTCCAGTAAAAAGCAGTGACTTGGCTGAGATTGAAGTGAGCTTAAAAAAAAAAGAGGTTGGACACTAATCTGAGAAGCTGTGTGTTGCAACTCCAGTATTTGCAGGACACAGCAGTATGGATCTGATGAAAGCAAAGTTTGGTTTTGTATTTCTTGCAGGTGGAGCACACCTTACAGGAGTGTTCCACTTAAGTGAAGTGCACACGGAGGGCTGGGTAACAGGCACAAAAATGTCCTGCTGCTGCTTTGGCTGCTAGACCTGTAGAAACCACTTAAACCTGCCACTTTGTATCTCTTATGTTTGGAGAGCCTACTGGGTATGGATGATCTGAGGCTTGATTCTTTAGCTGAAGCTTAACTTAGTCTATAAGCAACTGTGCTGTATGAAGTCATGCTATAATTTTAACTCTCAAAGAGATCAGAGTCCTCTATTAGAAACATCTTAAGGAATTTACTTTTACAGGGTGGGAGGGGGATGCAACAAATCTCTGGGCAAGGGGAAGGTTTGATTATTTTAATGTTTCTTGACTTAAAGAGCAAAAAAATATGCAGATGCAGTGAAAGACAGTAAACTGGTGTGCTTTGTACCTAGATGTAATCATGAAGGATGTGGGAAGTGCTTTTCTACTCCCAGTCAACTTAAGAGGCACGAGAAGGTACATGAAGGTAATACAGTTTTTGTTCTTGCTTCAGTTATGTTGTAGCAAAGGGAAAGGGAGTTCTTGTGTTACAGCAGGAATACATGACAGACATGGAAGTCTTCTGAGCCAAGTGATCCAGGAAAAACCAGAATGCCAGTTTTGAATAGTAAAACGGGATACAGTTGCAAGACAGTGCAATGTTCAGTTACCAGGTACTTGTGGCAGGCTGAACAGAGGTCAGGATTCCTTCTTAATGTGCTTCCTTGTCAATAATCTGTCTTCTGAAGATGGACTAATGGTTCAGGCAATAGCTGAGACCTCCAGGGGCTAGGATCAGCTGCCAGTTCTGCCACAATTTTCTTATGAAGCCTTGGCAAAACCATAATTTTGCATTTTTACAGGTGTTAATGTGCCTGTGTGAAAGGTAGATCAGGAGGGGTGTATGTCTGGGCTAATCCTGCTACACTCCTATCCATTCTTTCAGTACTATTGATAGCTAATCTGCTTTACAGTGCCAGAAAAAGACAAACCTGAGGGACTAGGAAAAGTATCCAGAAAATTGTGATTTGTACTGCATTCCTTTCATAAGACAGAGACTGGTTCGTAGTTGTTTAACCTTTCTAGTCATAGAATTTATATAGGATTGACTTTCTGTGGTTCATTTAAAAACTATCCTGGCTGCTTGATAAAATGGTAGAGTCTCTTTAGACTTGATGGAATATTACTGTATGGCCAAGATCTTGGGTTTTAATATCTAATACAAATATTGATGTAGAAATAATATATATTATTGCAGTTATTTTCATTTATTTGGGTGAAAGTGTATGGCTGCTGAGGAAGTAGTTTTACTGAAGCAAGGAGTGGTAGAGTTTCATAAAACCATTTAGGTTGGAATCGACCTCTGGAAGTCATCTGGTCCAACTCTCTGCTCAAGGTGGGGTCTGTTAGACCAGGTTAATGAGGGTTGCATCCAGTTAAATTTTGAATGTTTCCAGGAGTAGGATTCCATAGCCCCTCTAGACAACTTACGTCAATGATACAAAGTTTCTTCCTTAAACCTTTTAGAATTTTCTCATGTTCTAATTTGTGTTTGCCTCAAGTCCCATCAGGATGCAGTAAGGGTGGAGAGGAGCAGTACTAGGCCTTAATTTTGAAATGCTAAGAGTTCCTCCTTGTAAAACTAGACTGTGTTTGCCAGAACCTTTCTGATTGTAAACATCTGTCCTGTCCAACAGGCTATGCATGTAAGAAAGAAAACTGCTCGTATACTGGAAAAACTTGGACAGAGCTTCTGAAACACAATAAAGAAAGTCACCCAGGTAAAATCCAAATGCTTTAGTACATGAAACTTAACTTCTGATACAAATAGGAAACAAACTGCTAATCTGAAGAGGAGTCCTTGCTGAATTAATTCATCAGCTTCTCATTGTGTCTAGACAAACCTGTTCACTAACACTGTATCGGTAACACGATTATCACTCTGGCTAGACCTTTAACTTAAAATACTATTCAGCATACTAACTTTGCTTTGTGAACCAGTTAACAAGAAATTGTGTAAGGTAGGATTTCAGATCTGGATAATTCATTCTGCATTATTGTCTTCCAGTCTCCTTGTTCCTTGACTTCATGTGAATTTTGGCATTGTTCTAGAAGACTATTAGGGTTTGATTCTGAGCTCCTGTCAGAAGCTGTGAATTTATACTCTGCCTTGTCTCCCACTCAGAGCCAGTAGTTTGCAGCGAGTGTTACAAAACTTTTAAAAGGAAAGATTACCTGAAGCAGCATAAAAAAACACATGTGGTAGAGAGGGAAGTCTTCCTATGCCCAAGAGACGGATGTGGAAGAACTTACACAACTGTATTTAACCTTCAAAGCCATATTCTCTCCTTTCATGAGGAGAAAAAACCATTCTCTTGTGATTATCCAGGCTGTGGAAGAGTGTTTGCAATGAAGGTATGTATTTTTTTTATATTGTCCTACTGTGAATCACACAGTTTGAAATGCTAAATATAACCTTGTTTCTTTTTCCTGCTCTTTGCAACTGTAGCAGAGCCTAGCAAGGCACGAAATTGTTCATGATCCTGAAAAGAGAAAGCTGAACTTGAAAGTAAGTTACACTCTTGAAAAAGTCCTCTCAAATATGCCCTGTCACTTCAGAGGAGGGTAAAAATTAAGCGGTTGAGAATGTGACTTCAAGCAGGAAAACAGGCCGGTTATCTACTTAATTTGGGAGACTCTTAATTTCTGAAGCTCCTTTAAATAATACAGTGCTGGCCTACTAATTGATTTCTTCTCCATCCCCCCCTCAGTAGTCTTTGCTCCATTTACGTGTTAAGTTGCTTATTCTGGGTTTATTTCTGCCAGGCAAAGCGTTCCCGTCCCAAGCGGAGCTTGGCCTCTCGTCTGAGCGGCTACATTCCCCCTAAAACACAGCCAAGAGGGGAGGTGGTGGTGACAGAAAACAAGATAATGGGCAAGCCCAAGGAAAATGAAATACCAACTGTTGAAATTCTGACTCTGCAGTAAAGCTTAACTGAGACAACTTTTTTTCATGGAATCAGCAGTGCAAAGATCAACATGAACTTTATTAAGTTTATAGTGTTTTATTTTAATGAGACATTTACAGCTTTTTATAAAATCACTGATGCAACTCACTTGACTTCAGATCTTCATTTTCTTTCTTTGCTGTACTGTTTTTCTGTTTTTCCATTTTCTGGTATGCTTTCAACTCTTTTTCAGACATGTGTCTCAAAATACAGGTACTCACTCCTTCTCTGGTAATTTTTGGCTTGGAAAGGTAAGTGGCTTTCTCAGAGACAGACTCTAAAATCTGATCAAAAAGCACGAACTGAAAAGAAGGAGAAAAACAGGAACTAAAGGCACAAACACAGGTAGATAAATATTTCAGGCTGTTCTGTAGTGACAATTATTTTCTGCTTGTGGTGTAGCTATTGGCTGAAACCAGCTAGTTGTTAGTCGTGCGTTGAGCAGCTTAGTTTATCCTTTCCTAACCCTTTACTCATAAGCAGGTTTAGGAAATTCACCCCTGGCATCAAGCCATTTCCTAACATGTAGGTTGACTTCCTGACTCATCCTGTTTTGCTCTCTTAAAGTTATCCATGAAAGTGATGGCAACTGCATCTGTGTCCTCCCCACCCTCCTCTTCCACTAGATCTGGGCATATTATTATGGGCCTTTCCTCTTCAGGGGCAGTATTGTTCTAAGGTTAGCAGAAAGTGATAGTAATGAATTGTGCATTCATGTAAGAAACTGAACTCTTAAGCTAATAATTAAGCTTGTAAATTTGAAGACAACCCAAATCTAGAATGTATCAGGAAATGTTCTGCTCCCTCTCATATCCAGTTCCTTCTCTTGCTACCCTTTCCTAGTCAACTCAGTTCCTTTTGGATGAAGTGGTATCACAATTTTTTTTCAGCAATTTAGTAGAGAGAATCATCAAAGAAACCCAATTCATTACATACATAAAAGGAAAAAAAAACACCACCACAAAAATCTTACATGCAATCTTTGTCATTTGCACAAATGGGTTTTTAATATGAATACAAGTCTCAAGGCCCAGTAATTATACTGTAAGTTGCCACCAGCTCCCCAATATTTTTACAGAGGTTTACTTTGCCAGTCTTGGAACATCATTACAGTAGTTTTCCACACAGCAGTGGAAAACTAACCTTAGCCACAGTTGCACAAATGCATCTTCAGAAGCACAGTTTGGCTATTGAAATCATACAGCAGAATTTTTTTAAACCTTACTGTTAAAACTCTTCAGTGAGTGAGTGAGCTGGCTTAAGGCAGAGGCAGGAAAATTTCACCAGCCCAGTTAATAAGGTGATGCTGCAAAGGAGTAGGAACTGCTTAAGACACTGCTGTCAAAATCAGTATTGTAAGTGCATTCCTAAGGAAGCATGGTATTTGAATGGTCTCTGTGGCAGTCTGCTATTCCAACTGCACTGCTAGAGATGCAGCTTCTGGTGGGGCAACCATTACTTTACTGGGACCTAGACCTTTGTGCCAGTACTGAGTAGGGGAAGTTAATACAAGCACAGCTGTTTAATTAAACTGATTGGTCCAACTTCCAGGAATCCACTTACCATGTCTGTATTGCTATCTTTTGCTTGCCGGATGGTAATTTTAACATGGTATTTCTTTTCAATCCACTGTGCTATCTGCTTAGTCTTGGTTTCTAAGTCGTTCTTGGCAATAGCTGAAGAGAACGATAACTCCTTCTGAACTGTTCCTGTTTAAAACAGAACTAAAACTGTGTTGGCTTAACATCTGACCAAGTTGTATCAGTTGCTCTCTTTCAGCAGTCTATGGTGCTTTGCCTGCCCAGCTCCCTTCCCTCATGCTGATGTCTCATACACAGAGCATCACAGTGTCACAGTCTCAGCATGCACCAGTCTCACCTTAAAAGGTGGCTGCTTGATTTCTCTCACTGCCATGACTGGGAAACTGAGTGCATGTTTGAGGCTTGCAGGGAAGTGTCTTCAGGGTCAGAGGCTTAGAATATTTTTAATTACAGTTTTGTTCATAACACCCACAATGCAGGTCTAACAAAAATAAACAGGGAAGATTTGATCTGAAATTACAGATTGGTGTGCAAATTCCTGCATTCTGCACATAGTATAGCTTAATGTAGAAGATCTGAAGTTAGATAGCTCTTCACCTGGAGCCCAGTTGCCTCCGTGGTAAAGTGCTATATTAAAATGGAAGTATGATGCCTTGTAAAGTATTTGAATAACTTGTGGTCTCTTCCCCCTTAGAAGATTGTCTAAAGTAGTTAAAATTTGAATAATGTTTTTGTAGTTTCTTGAACAGAAAAACTGCAACCACAATAGTGCTGCTCTCTAAAATCAGAACTCTACCCAAGGCACAGATACCTTTGTTAGCCTGAGGGTAGGAAAAGAGGATACAAGGTCAGATGCCTTTTCTAAAACCTCTTTGCCAAACTCAGTTTGTTAAACTACTGGAGTAGGTTCACTTAAAAAACTACATAAAATATGGAAAAGTATTCAATAATGAAAAAAACTGTAGAAGAAATGGGTTCAGACTTTGTCATATAGCAGCAAGCTAGGAATAGAATATTTCATGACTACTGGTGACTAAATTATGTATTGGTGTATCTGGTGTTCAGTTTGTAAAAAATGCCAGTCACTTCATTCCTTAGTAAAAACAAATTCAGTGAGTCTTATGGAACCAGAGTCTAGTTATACTCACTTTAATAAGATTTTTTTTAAAGCCAGAAGATACAAAAATAGTAAATCCCAAGAAGGCAACAGAAGGCTTCTCTGTGAAAGAAGACTAGAATAATCCAAAATTTTATTTTCACCACTGAAAATCCTTAATAGTGTGGACTGCAGTGACATTGCTTTGGATTTACACAAATGCAAGTAAGAGGATTTCATCTGCTGAAACCACTTTTACTGCAGCATTTTCCAAAGTACTCAGTGTTGCAGCGTAAACAACATACATACCTGGTTTTGGACTTCCTTTTTTCTTCTCTGCCCGTTTAAGCTGTTCTTCATGAATCTGCTGCCCAGTCATTAGTCTGTATACAGGAGGTTCTACATTCTCTTTAAGAAGAACTAGTTTCAGGTCATGTTGATCCATAAGTTTGAGTGCCTCTGCTCGGTGCATGTTTCCTAAGCTCTCTCCATCCTGGTTGATTACGTGCAAAATCCGGTAGGGAATTCGTCGCCCCACACTTCCAAAAGCTGCTTTCTTTTTTGGCTCTGTGTGAGATTTTTCAGCTGTACAAAATGGCTGAGTAAGTCCAAACACAGCTGACTTTCTAGGGTCAGGTACCACCATCCAGAATGGAGAAAAGACCCTCTCTTGTGGTGTTTGTGTCAGAAGAGTACCAAAGAATCTTTTTGCATGTCTATTTTCATTTCTGGTTGCTTGACACAGAAGTTTAATCATGCAAAAGGCAGTCATTCTGAGGAACCAGGGAAGAAGAAAAAACAAGTCACCCCCATCAGTAAGAGTCATCTAGTTATATTAGAAAGACTTGACTCCAGCTCAGTAAACCCTAGTCCATAAAACTACTGTTTCAAAAAGATGCAGGGTGTTACTCCACAGAATGAGCAATCAAGTAACAGAGGGCTTTAACCCAGAGAGGAAATCTGACAGAGGAACAAGAGTTATGAAGATTTGATGTGATCTTCAGGATTTTAGAATTTGAGCCTGGACTCTTTGAAGGAATCCAAAACTTCCAGTTCATTCATACGCCTAAGATCCCAACTTGCAAATTAAAATTAAATAGTTACAGACATCTATCCTGGCATGGTACTCATCAAGCTACAGACTTTCCAAACAAACCTCAAAATATGCCAGTCTTGAAATTTGAGGACTAGAGAAACCGACACTGGTTCCATTATAATCTTCCCCCACTCTTCCCTGGTTGATGGAATCCCCCTGTCAATTTTAGTGCACTTAACAGTTACTTGCATTTTCTTCAAAACTTCAGAAATCAGCCAATTTTTAACAGCTGCAAATACTTTACAGTTGAAGAGCAAACTGTGAGGTATTATCTGCAGTTTTGGTATTCTATGTTTAAAAAGCAGCAAGTACAGGAAAAGTCCTTACTTGCATTTTCTTCAAAACTTTAGAAAATGTTTAACAGCTGCAGATCCTTTACAGTTGAAGAGCAAACTGTGAAGTATTATCTGCAGTTTTGGTATTCCATGTTTAAAAAGCAGCAAGTACAGGAAAAGTCAAAGATTATCCTGGAAATTAAGAATGTGCCATACCAGAGCAGCTGCCAAGAGTGTGACTTATTTTGCCTATGAAGGAATGTGATTCTAGGCTATAAATGTAATATATACATATATATGTATATGTAGAGTCAGAATTGTTTTGGTTGGAAAAGACCTTCAAGATCATCATGTCCAACCATTAACCCTGCACTGCCCAGCCCTAAGCACCACAACTACACCTATTTTTAAATGCCTCCGAAGATGGTGACTCCACCACTTATTTCCCTGGGCAGGCCGTTCCAGTGCCTCAGTGCATGTGCAAACCAGTACCCATGTACCTGCACACACACGGAGAAGGTACCAACAAGCAGCAAGGATAAGAACTACTTACAATTCTATATAAGCAGTCTTGGCCCATGAGCAGGTGAAACTGCCTCCCTATGAACAAGCTTAGGCTGAAAATGGGGCCTAAACACCCACTGCCAACACGTTATGAAAGACCGCAGTTAAGTTTGTCTGGCATCCAGAGGAGCCTGGCCTGCCTTTGCCAGTCACTGACTTCCAAAAATAAGTATTACAGCAACACAATAAGCCTATTTTTAAAAAATGTGTGTCACCGTGACCGCGGGCCCCGCCGGGCCCCCCCGGGCCCGCAG